AGCTCTACATATTGACCATTCCCAAATTCACTGTAAGCTAATTTGTCAGCCGCCAATTCACCATAACATGACGATATAGCATAGCATTCATAACTAATGTGGTAGATAATGAAACCCAAAAGAGAATCGCAAGCCCTGGTTACAGCTAAATCCTTAACATTAGAAAACACTTTATCCAAAAAAATATTCCTATCATTAGGTATTTCATTGACCCGAAAAAACTTATGAAAACCAAAAGATTGAGCTACTTATATTGCTGGGTCTCCACCTGAACATTGCACCATTGTTCCAAACCAGTCATTGGATCACACTGCATTTGGTAAATTATAATCTCCAGATAAGTACACATTCATCCTTGGATATTGCTCACATAAATGTTCTACCCTTTCACGTGATGATTGAGGAGATATGTGAACTCCCTCAATAACAAATCTGGATTTATGTATTCATTTGACCTAGAATAAAGAGCTCAATTCTATCCTTTGCAACTGTGATCCATTGTGAACTAATATTGCTTCTAACAACCTATGAGATTCTCAGTACATCCTGAAAAGAATATTACTGTTTGATTCTAAAAATATGCTTGAAATGTATATTCTCACATTCAAATAATGTTTCTATGACATTATAGTTATGTTCTCAAATAGTTATTTATGTATCAAGGGTACTAAGTAGATGATTATGCCCTGAGGGCGACAGTCTTACAAAGCCGAGGGCCTCTGGCCCGAGGGTTCGTAAGTCGCCCGAGGGTATATATATCTATTAGTACCCGTGGTGCATACAAACTTTTATGTCATACCAGTTGGTTGTGAATAATAAATACCTGGGAAAAAAATGTCACTTTGCAAATTGTCATCAGTATCAGTGTGCAAACATCATTATTTTTTGACAAAAATAATATGCTGAATAATATGTTTATAAGCGTAAACTTATATTTTTTTAATAAATAATAAGTTAATTGAAAACTGTTTTTTGCGTCTTTATGCCCGCGCGGGCCATAATGTGTACTTTATGCCCGCGCGGGCCATAATGTGTACTTTATGCTCGCACGGGCATAAAGTAATGAATTACGTAGATGGTATCTAAGGTATAAAAACACAATAATGTATTGGTATGACATAAAGAATATTATACCAATATGCTTGAAATATTCTTAGAATATATCTAGGGGAACCCGGGGCAGAACGGCATACCTAAGCTTTAAGAGGCCTTTTCTTCAAGGGATTTTAAAGTTTCGAAACCAACTTAGGACATGTCCTTCTTTATTGTTTAAATCACATCCAAGAAAAGTTTGAGACGAATATTATCAGAAAAAAAAAAGTTTTTGAAGCTCAAAAAAAAAATGTCGAAATGACCATTCTGCCCCGACTATGGGGCAGAATGGCCCTATCTTGGGGCGGAATGGTCATTATGGTAAAATAATGAGGTAACCGTATTTTTGGGAACAAATGAAACACTCAAATATCAAATACACAATTTAATAGAAATTTTAAACTTATTGCCAGATTTCGCAGACAAGTACAGTCTCATCGTCGTCGCTATCGGTACCCGCGCAAGTATTATGAGTCCATTTTTTGTAGATTGAGCATGATATCTAATAAGATTCTATAGATTTTGAGTAAAAGTCTCCACAGTAGAGGCATTGGGAATCATCACTTTCACTTTCGGTGGAAGAACTTGTTTCGACGTTTACAGGAATCCTTATGTTTTGTTTTTTTTTTATTATTCTTTTGCATACTCTTCGAGCGAATAACTTTTTTATTTTTGGGTTTTTTATTTATATTCTGCTATTGATTCATCTGGACTGCATTCTATTAAAGACGACATGCGTGAATCTCTTCTTATAATTGAAAAAATTCATATGACTGTTTGCTAATTTTATGCGGGGCAGAATGGTACCCTAGAATATTCCGCCCCCTAATTTCATGAGGGGCAGAATGGTACCCTAGACCATTCCGCCCCGATCCGTTCTGCCCCGAATTTGGTTTTAAAATATTTTCAAAAAAATAAAACAATATCATTGAGGAAAAATATCAACACTACCACCACTAATGCTTGACATCATGTACTTCGTGAAAAATATAATAACAATGACTTATTATTTATGTACAATGCTTACTTTGTCATTAAATTTCGCAAAAAATTATAAAATTTATTCACAAATATGGACATGCATGAATTCCGTTAGACTAAAGTTGTTTTTGCACTGGCATTTATCAAAACATAATAGAGTATAGTCTAGGGTATGGTTATAACGCGATTTCGGTTTACTATTCTGGTTGCGGCTGGTGTTAGGAGGCCTATTCCGTTGTGCCCCGGTATGCCGTTCTGCCCCGGGTTCCCCTACATATATCATTCTCAATATTCATCCTAGACATAACATTCTTGTTTGATTCTAGAGATATACTTGGAATGTTAATTTTCGCATCCAAATAATGCTCCTTTCAGTCCTTTTATATGAAAGGCAGTGAAAGAAAGAGTTGTTGGAAAACTTCTCTGGAAAACACAAGTGTTTAACCAAAGCTCCGGTTCCAAGCTTATTATGATCTCGTCGCGGTAAGCACGCCAACTGAAAGAAACAAGTTCCAAGGTGATTAAAACGCAAAGCAAGATGTAGATCTTTAATAGCGCGTGGCTCCCTCTCTTGGAAGTCCTACAAAGCAAAAGAAAAAGAATATACCTATAATATTTTTAGTAGGTTCTAGATAGAGCATTATTGTTTAATTGTTCAATTAAGATTCTTGAGTAGGTACTTTAGATAATTAGGTGAACAATATGAAAATATTCTTATCATGGTTACCTACCTACATAAACTTCTCAGCACAACTTTGCAGGTATATTCTTAATACTTGATAGAGACATTAGCCGAAAGAACATTTTTTAGGATACATTATATTAATGTTTGTATGACAATATTCAAATAATGGTATATAAGGTAGGTCCTTAGCACAATCTTTCAGGTAGGTGCATAGAAGCAACATTCCTGGTACATAAATAGAACGTCTAAAAATGAATATTTCAATTGAAACAATCTTAGAATATTCATTAAACATTCCTAAAAGAACATTCCAAAAAGCACTTTGAGGGAATATTCTGAGAATATGAATGTTCTTTCACTGTTATGTGGGTTGCTACTCGTTTTGGAGCTTCTGTCGCATCTAAATACATTAAAACCATCTAATTTTACTTCAATATCAGAAAAATCCTGGCTCAAATTGCTTTCTACCAGAATAATAATATCATAAGTAAAAGAAACCACAGCTTCAAGGATTTTGGGGAATTTGGTACGAAGACCGCCAACATTTTGGAAGTACAGAGTTAATGGGGTTGCAATGAGTGTTTTGTGTTATTCTGTTGCTTAGCTTCCACAACTGGCACCCCAGTCCGTTAAACAATAGCTAAATTTTCCTCACCAGCTGCTTTCCTGCTGTCAAGTAGTAACTTGGCCTTCTTATAGGCTTTTTGTTGCATTGGTGTCTGATCATTAGATATTCTGAAGCCTGATCCTTGTAACTTTCTCCTCAATTTAGGTGCTGACTTAACAGTGTCCACACTCTTGCAAATTACTTTCACAGGTCTAGGTCTAGTGCTGTTAACCATATTTTTGCCCACACGAATAATTTTCCTAACTGACGGAATCTCCTCCTTTAGACCCAAGTTATCAGAAACTTCCGAAACCACTGTTCTGTCGTGACTAATGCCCTCCTCCAGATTCAGGGAGTTTGATTCAGGACAAAATAATCCATCAAGTTCAGAGCCCGTTCTTCACGTTGGCCGACTTTGTACAACATTGACTCAGCATCAAGCGAATTGTCCCTTTTCATACTAGCAATTTTCTGTTTCAATTCAATTCAAGTTTGTATAGGAAACAAACCAGAAGTGACAGAAACAATTCGTCTAGGGAGAAAGGTGGGAAATAATTTACTAAGCAACTTTCATTAAGTTCACTTTTTCGTATACGAGGTAACTAAAAAGTTCAAGGTATTATGCGCGACTTTTTTGCCACCCTGTATTATAAAGTCATACAAAGACTTACCTCTTGGTTTTATAATTCTGACTGATGTGGTGTAACTTAGAGTGACATCCAATCACCAGCTCAAAATCCTGGGTCTGGCAGTGCCTGGCCAGTTCTACAAGTTCCTTGTTGGGTGGTAGCGTCTCAGCAGATTACTGAAGTCAGGACGATAGCTTTCTTTTGCTCACTGTTGTTCTGCATCAGTTTGACGGCAGCCGACACAAACTGATCAAATTAGATCTGATGATGGATATGTCGAAAATAACGAAACGTGAGCGACAAAAGCGGATCTCAGATTTGTGATTAGCTACCAAAAATATATCCATTGATTTATTTATTCCCAAGATACCTATTCTCTAGCCTTACAACAATCCTAACGCCGTTCTTTGAAAAATAATAGAATGTACCTACCAAAATAGAGAGCTGTTTTCTTGAAATAAATCTGATAGTGGTTTATGTGGTTGACATTCTCAGTATTTCAACAAATAAAAAACAGTTTGGCTTTTAAAATGCACAAGAGCAAACTGCGTTCAAAACAAAACACAACCTTTTTAACCTTCTGAAAACGTAAACAAATAAATCAATAGGTGACCCATAATAATTTATTGAATCCTCGCCTTCTCAAGATATAAGGATTTAATTTTATAGAAAATACTCAAACTGCACCCTCTACCAAAAAAAATCCCTGTCACGTTATTTTTTTTTTTTTAACAGATTTACTTTAGTTAAGTATGTTTCATAGGTAGGGCCTTTCCTGCCTACCAAAAAAAAATCCAATTTTAAATTACACCCTTTTGTTTACAACAATGTTGGAAAAAGCCTTATATTAAATATTTTGACCAACATTGAACATTCTAATCTAAATCAAACATGGTGCCCTAGCATTAAAATTTGATTTATTTCAATTTTAGTCACAGTATATTGTGTAATTGTGTATATCTTGTTGTTGTTCATTTTATTTTATAATACTTTTTTTTTTCTTTAGTAATTGAACAAGAAAAAGCCCAAACTAATCTGCTCTCCGGCATCGAAAATTTCGATAGCAGCAAGCTGAAGCACGCAGAAACGCAGGAAAAGAACCCACTTCCTACTAAGGAAATCATCGATCAGGAAAAGAGCGCCTGAACTGACCGATCCCTTCGCTTTCCACCCACGACCCGGCTCAATTTTTTTAAGCCACATTTTGTAATTTTTTTACTTTTATATGATATTTAATAACGATTACTATTTATTACAAATAAGATTATATACCCAATGCTATGATAAAATATTATTATGTGGTTTCAGCATAAGCGAGCCTTTTTAAATACTCTTTTTACTTTGTGTTGCAAATGCATTTCAAAGAAGAAGAGAATTTAAAAAGGAAAAAAATTAAAAGGAATTTAGTTTTGTGACCAAATAAAATTGAAAAAAAAAAGGGCTGCCAGTTTTGAGAAAGGGCTTTAATCGTACTACTTATTCATGCCAAATTCATTATTATTATATTGACATAAAATTATGCTGTGAAAGAGTCTGTCCTTCCATGAGCAAGGCTTTTAATATGATTTTTTTTAGGGAACTAATACCTATTTGTACTTATGTTATTATTATTTTTCAACAATTTGATAGTTTTTAGAAATTATCATTTTGAGTAAAATTCACGGTGCTTTTAATAAATTTGTTAAAAAGTCAAAAAAGAAATTGATGTTTTATTTTGGAAACACTAATGACTAGGCATTAGCCTTGTTAACTTTGAATGTCATATTTCAATCATTCTGTTAAAATAGCAATTACTTAAATAGCAAAAATGCTAAATAGAGTTTTTGACTCGTAAAGGTATGTTTTGCTTGGAGCGACTATTGCAATGATCGCACGCGTGTAACGTTAAACCACGAGGCGTTAGCCGAGTGGTTTAGTTACACAAGTTTCATTAATAAAGTTCATATCGAACGTGTATCATTCAAAATTTAATCTACAATGGTCCAAATAGATTTGATTTGCCTTGAAATAGCAAAAACTTTTCAAATTAAAATTTGAAATTTAGCAGGTGCCCGTACTAGTCGAGAACCTGCTTGTTGGTTTTTAGAATTTTGACTTTGGCAGCTTCAATATTGGAGTCCATTTTTGTGCCATAAATTCAATTTTATAGTGGAAAATAATATTATTATTGGTGATTCTGAGTTCGAAAGTGTCTCTTCGAATATAGAGACAGCATTATTGAAAAGGTTCTTCTGGCAACTAACTTTCTTTTTGTATATTTTTCATTTCAAAATTTGGGTGTTATTATGAATTCTTAAACGCACTAGTGCTATTATGAAGGACCTAATGACATTCAAATGACAATGCTAAATGTGTCATAATGACACCGACGTAGATTAAAAATTTAATGCAATACATATTACGCTATTACATAGTTATATCAATCTTAATACAATTTCCTAATACTGCTATAACAGTATTAGATGCACAATGGTATTTATAATACTGTGTGTGCACCCATTAAACTTAATTCATTTAAACTATTTTGAGGTTTGTACATTCATTAAATGTTTTAGGTTTTAATACAATTTGATAAATAACAATTTCAACATTTCAGATGCAATTTCTTTATACAATAAATTTCTTCCTATCTTCAAATGTACCAATAATTGTTTGTTTGTACTTTTTTCATCACATAATTAATCCTATATCCACTATCAACAATCCATTTTGTTAAGGGTTTTTTAATTTTGTACCTAATATTTTTTTTGTTTAAAGTTATCAGGTAATTAAGTCATTGTAAATCTTTGGACCCACACAGTAAATGTGATTTTGACAGTGTGGTGTTTAGGGGTTCTTTCTGTTATCAATAAAACTAGTCACGAACGATAATGAGTGTTGTATTAAAAATATCACAGTTAAGATTATTGTCGGACTTAAATTAAACTTAATTGGTTGCTTAGTTGGTTGCCTATACATATATAACAAACAGGCTGTGTGCTTGGGGTTAGAATATTACTATCTTTGTGACCAAGAGCTGTAGGATATCTTTTTTTTCTTGAACAGCATAGTCTTTATAATACATCTTTGGGATACCTGTAATTTTGATAGAGTTGCTGTGCCTGCATTCCCCCACAACACCCAACCATAGTTTATCATGGACTGCACTAATGCACAATAAATTGTCTTTAAAGTTTTTAATGTTAACATTTTTCTTAGTTCATAGAATTTTTGTATTAGTTTCCTTACTTTTGCAGTTATATACTCAACATGTTCTTTCCAAGTTAGTTTTTCATCCAAAATAACTCCAAGGTATCTTAGGCTAGACTTTCTTTTTATGATCATATCACACTTACAATGTAGGCCCAAATCACATTTTGAGTCATGAACTTTAATGCACTCGAAATCCGGCAGTGAGCGAGAGGAAAACGAAAAAGCCACAAAATTGGTTTTCTCCCGATTAAGGGAAAGTAAACTTTCATCTAACCAGTTTTTAGTTTTTTGTAATATGCTTTTTCTGCCTTTAGTTTGGTAATTTCCTAGTCGTTACCACTTATTATGATACTTGTATCGTCAGCAAAACAATAGATTAATATATATTAATCTACGGCGGTGTCATTATGACACATTTAGCATTGTCATTTGAATGTCATTAGGGACATTAGGTCCTTCATAATAGCACTAGTGCGTTTAAGAATTCATAATAACACCCAAATTTTGAAATGAAAAATATACAAAAAGAAAGTTAGTTGCCAGAAGAACCTTTTCAATAGTGCTGTCTCTATATTCGAAGAGACACTTTCGAACTCAGAATCACCAATAATAATATTATTTTCCACTATAAAATTGAATTTATGGCACAAAAATGGACTCCAATATTGAAGCTGCCAAAGTCAAAATTCTAAAAACCAACAAGCAGGTTCTCGACTAGTACGGGCACCTGCTAAATTTCAAATTTTAATTTGAGAAGTTTTTGCTATTTCAAGGCAAATCAAATCTATTTGGACCATTGTAGATTAAATTTTGAATGATACACGTTCGATATGAACTTTATTAATGAAACTTGTGTAACTAAACCACTCGGCTAACGCCTCGTGGTTTAACGTTACACGCGTTTCATTATGGCGTTCATATCGAACTTGTATCATTAATAACTATAATATTTTCATCATCCAGCTGCTCCATTATGCCATTTACGTAAATGTTGAACAACAAAGTTGAGAGCACTGTATCTTGTGGCACACCAAATTCGACCTGCAATACATTACTTTCTTGTCTAGAGACAACTGTGGTTTGTTTTCGCTCAGCAAGATATGACTTAATAAAGTTATTTGGAATACCCCTGACTCTCACACTCTCTAATCGTTTCAATAAAATTTGGTGTGCCACTGTGTCAAACGCTTTCCTTAGATCCAAAAAAACCTACCACTTTTTTCCCCTGATCTAAATTTTTCAATATCTCTTCTGTAACCTTTACAAGAGCATTTTCAGTATTTGCATGATCCCTGCCTGAAAGCGAATTGATTTGAGTTGAGTAGGCGATTTTTCTCTAAAAAGAGGTTTAATTTTCCCCTAAAGCATTTCTCAATGATTTTACTCACTGTACTAGTCAAGGAAATTGGTCTATAGTTATTCAATATTTTTTTATCACCTTGCTTGTATAAGGGTATGATTTTAGTATTTTTCAATATATCAGGGAAAATACCAGTAGCAAATGATAGATTTGTTATGTGCTTAAGCGGAATGCTGAGATTTTCTTTGAATGTTTTTATTACGTTAGATGAAATAGCATCATTCCCACCCTTTACCCCATTCCTAATAGTCCCCAGTACATCGACCCTAAAATTTTGTAACTCATGTACACGCCAAACTTCCTGAGCGGCTTTATAACACCAAGTCGGACAATATTTTTCATATCTCCACCCTGGGCGATGGGACATTGCCGCGCTAGCTCTTCGTGAAGTTGTCGTTCTGACATCCCTAAGGAAGTTGATACATGTACGTGTAGTTTCAATGCCAATCGACTGTTTTTTTATATTACATTAACGATATCACATTTGTCGGACAAAAACCATGTGGCTTTGGTGAAGTTCCGATGCCCTCAACATGTCGCTGTGGCGTCCCTGAGGAAGTTGATACATGTACGTGTGGTTTTGATGCCAATCGACTGTTTTCTATGTTACATTATTGATATCACATAGGTCGGACAAAAATCACGTGGCTCTGGGGGGGTCCGACGCCCCCAACATGTCGCTGTGGCGTCCCTAAGGAAGTTGATACATGTATGTCCGACAAAAATAATTATGAATAACAATGTAATTTTAAAACATGTGTAGTAAATGTCGGACAAATAAAATGAGTATTAAAGTCAGTCGGACAACAAAAGTCCTATTGATCAATTTCTGCCGAAATTCAGGATCTTCACTCCTGAGATTGCACAAAAAACACGACTGAATATCCATTCTTTCTCATACGCGTGGTTTTGAATGACCGCGTTTACTAAATAATTTCCGTAAATACTCGGAAAACTATCAGAAAAACAGATCAGGGAATATGACACAGGGCCCCACAGGTATTTGACAAAGTAGGTAAATAATAAACTGACTAATATGCACGTTGCGTTAAGGCAAACTTATTTTAATTTTTTCATTGATTGTCTCAAATTTCTTGTCCGACAAATGTGATATCGTTAATGTGATGTAAAAAACTGTCGATTGGTATTAAAAACATACGTACATGTATCAACTTCCTTAGGGACGCCACAGCGACATGTTGATAGCGTCGGAGCCCCCCGAAGCCTCGTGATTTTTGTCCGACATATATGATATCGGTAATGTAATACAAAAAACAGTCGATTGGCATTAAATCTACACGTACATGTATCAACTTCCTCAGGGACGCCACAGCGACATGTTGAGGGTGTCGGATCTTCCCCAAAGCCACATGGTTTTTGTCCGACAAATGTGATATCGTTAATGTAATGTAAAAAACAGTCGATTGGCATTGAAACCACACGTGCATGTATCAACTTCCTTAGGGACGTCAGAACGACAACTTCACGAAGAGCTAGCGCAGCAATGTCCCATCGCCCAGGGTGGAGACATGAAAAATATTGTCCGACTTGTTGTTATGAAGCCGCTCAGGAAGTTGGGCGTGTACATGAGTTACAAAATTTTAAGGTCGATGTACTGGGGACTATAAGGCTCATCACTTCTCTAATTATATCATCATTTGTCACAGGACTCAAAAAGAACGAGTTTTCACTCCTCTCCCTCACACCATGATTCCGAGCGCTTCCAGTAATTTTTCCTGCCAAATGTTTTCCTATGTTACAAAAATAAGAATTGAATTCATTCGCAATCTGTTTCTAAATTTACCTGGTTATTAATTGCTTTTATTTCTGACCTACAGACCTGATCGTTGGTGGCCTACCTAATCACATTCCATAGTTTTTTTGGATCATTTAAATTTCTTTGTGCTAATAATTTGTAATAAGTATACTTTTAATTTTTTATTAACCTACCCAAAATTTTCCTATATTCTTGATACCCATTCAAAATAATAAAATTGTTGGGATTCAAGGTAGATTCCTTTTTAAGGCGATTTCTATTTCGAATTGATAATAAGAACCCACCAGTGATCCAAGGCTTCAATTTCTTTTTCTTGTTTCGTATTGTTTTTATAATTGTTGATTCCATAATCATATTTTTAAATTTATTCAC